GTGGCCAGACTCACCAGCCGGGCATCCGTCCTTTCCTGGGCTGTTGCCAGGCGCCGCGGCGTCCGTGCCGCGGCCTCCGCCGCTGATCTGCTCGAAAATCATCGAGATGTTACCTTCTCACCGGGCCTTCGCAGTTCCGAGCCCCGTGGTACGCTGGACGCGAACAATCTGATCGTGTGTAGGGTGCGCAAGTACCGAGAAGTCGCAATATGATGATTCTGATGATATCGATACACTACCGACACGTGTCGTGCGGCCGTTTGATGCGGTTCGGTGGCAGCACTGCATCGACAAAGCTTGCAGACCCTGTCGGCTCGAGACATGCGTTTTTCCCGAGTGAGCGGTCGCCACACTCCGAATATTAACTCGTAGGACAGAAGCTTTGTTTGATGAAAGGTTTTGCCTCGCCAAACTCCAAATTGCTGACCAATGGGCATGCACACATGCTGGCTCCCGCGGCCGCCACGCCGACAACAAAGCGACCCGGAGCTGCAGGGGGCCCAGCGGTGCCAGGGGCGGGCACGTGAGAAGTGGGCAACACTCCCTATGTGACAGCAGCTGCGTTGTGGTGAGTTCGTCTTTCGCCCGACAAGCCTGAACTGGTCGCGTCATGTTCGCCCATCGCTCTCCACTCCTATGGCGAGCAGCAACCCAGGTCGTTCTGCCTGTCATCACATGACCACGCACCCTTCCGCTGTTTTATCGTGAGGTGTGCTGCGCCGCGATCCTTTGCGTGGGCCTGCATGGGCCTGGCAGATGCCAAAGTCGCGGTCCATTTGTCGGGCACGCTCGCTCGTCGAGGGCAAAATCCTGACGAACCGAATTGCCGCCCCTCCGCCTTCCGCTCCAACTGCCCAGCCAACCCGACTCTCCTCTTTCCATCTGCCATGCCCTCTGGTAACCCTTCCAACCCCAACCGCCCCCACCCTGCGGCCTCTACTGCACCCATGATGAACGACTGTACGGCACAATGCACCCTTGCAACAATTCCCACCTGTTCCGTTACTTGAAAAGATCTGCCCAGGGTTATTATTCCACGGAATTTTCAGGGTCAGTCAGAAGGTCTCGGGTCATCTTGAAGATTTTCGGCCCTCTTGGCCAACACGGCCTCTCGGCCTCGAGGAGCTCGCTGCAGCGAGTCGAGGCATTGGGCTCGAACAGACCGCGTATAGCTCTCCATCGCGGCAAGCTTTCGAGCCGAGGCGACGACGGCTGGACATGCACGCTACGGCGGCCTGGCGGGCCCCCACCGGAGGCAGCACCCGAAGCCTGCGATCCCGTCGTACGTGGCGCGCGGGCGTGTGCTGCGACGTGCGGCCGTCGGTGCCGGGGTGCCCTTGCCCGCGCCGGCACGCGAGCGTCCTGCTGGCATGCCCCCCATGCATGTCCGCTTTTTGAAAAGACCGCACATCCTCCACGCGGTAAACTGAATGTTGGTTGCAGAGCAGGATGGGCTTTTAGAGCAGGGCGCTGGACACGGGCAGCCGCAGTGCAAGCCCAGGCGCAACCTGCAAGGACGCTTCCCTGTTGCAGCTGGCCCCATATAGCCGCCCATTGCTTTTATTTACATGCTTTTATGTAAATGCTGTTCGGCGGCCGTCCTACAGTACTCACGGCCTGCCCAATTTGTGGCCATCCAACAAGGGCGATGTCTGCAATACACATTTTAATCTCACAAGTCACAAGGGCTTTCCCGGGATCTGTGGCTATTAAAGGCATGTACAAACAGTGCGAGAGACCAGCCGCCGCGCTCCGCGGTTGCTGGCCCAGGCTGGCAGGTCATGATGTATACACACGAGCGGACGTGCTGACGTTAGGTGATGTCATCAGCAGCGGGGTGATGACGCAAAGAGGAGATAGGAGGGGGGGACCCGCAAACGACTCAGCAGAGGTGCAAACGTGGACAGCTGTATGGCACTTTGTCGTTTGTCTGTCTACGTATTTGCAGCCAACCAGTAAGGCTGTGGTGTGAGGCGCCAAAGGGGCGGAGCAACGGGTGGTGCGCAGGGGCCCGCCCCATGCGCGAGGGGCGCTGCGCAGCACGTGGGCACCTTCTGACGAGCATGCACGACGCAACATTCAGGGCCTGTTGATGGTGTATGAACGACAATATTAAGAGCCTCTTCGTCGTAGTATGTGCACCAATGTGCCATCAAGGCGACTCAGCACGGTAGTGCAACCAAAAAATTTGGTGGAAAGCATCTCTGTGTCGTGAGCCTGAGCCGGCAAGGTGTACTACTGCAGAAAAGCAGCACCGATTCTGAGGTGCAGGACATAGGCCAGTGCACCAGCACAACGCCGCCCTAAGCCGCTGTGAAATTTGATTCAAACGTGCTCGCAGATAGGGGGCTGGCGTGCCCGCCCGCAGCTGTGGGTGGGCTGCGGCCGTGGCCTGCAAATTGGCGCCCCTGCCGGACCCTTTCCATCTCAGGAGTTCCATGCCATTCCAGCAAGCTGCTGCTGCGGAGGCAGCTCGGGCCCGCACTGCGCCAGCAGCAGCCACCAAAAGAAGGGCAACAGGTGCAGGCGCCGGGGCCACCGTTTGCGCGGGACTAGGGCCCACCGAGGCGCTCGCGGCGAACGGCGCCGCGGCTGGCGCGCCTGTGGGCGCCGTGGCGGCCGCTGCCGCCGGCGATGACGCCACTTCCATGGCGCTGTCGCCGCTATCAAGTGATGCCTTGCCACGCACTTGCCGCCCGCTGCCATGCGCAGCGCTGCCGCCGCCGCCGGCGCCCTGGCCCCCGGCGACAGTAGCGACGGCGGGACGCACGGCCCTTCCGGCCCCGCCGGCCCCGTCGGCACCGCTGGCGCTGCCCGCCCCGCCGGCGCTCCCAGCGCCGCTGCCGTCGGCAGCTGCCCATCAAGTGATGCAGCTACCGCTGCCGCCGCCGCCTCAGAGGCTTCTGTCGCCGCTGCCCCTGCCGTCCCATCGGCACGGCTCGGCCCGCGGCAGCTCGCAGCCGTGCCCTCGCCCCCAATGTCGGCCCGTGCGGCGGCGGCCACAGCAATGTTGCTGCAGCCGCGGGCACAATCAAGCTCCGAGCACTCGCTGCCATGCGCCTCTGACGCGTCCTAGGCCCCGCCCCTGCCTCTGCCATGCGCGCACGCGCCGGGGTTGCTACTCGCGCCGCCGCACCTCAGGTCTGCAGTGCTCTCATCGCTGTGCGGCGCGGGCTGCACGCAACCAGGTTCAGCTTCGCCAAACTCGCGCGGATGCGAGGACAACTGCTCGCCAGGCGGCCAGTGCTCCGGCCCAAAGCCACACCCGCCTTCGTCGCGGCCGCCGCCCCCATCCCCGCCTTCGCAGCCTCCCTTGCACCAGCCACCCCCGTCCCCGCCGGCGCCGTCTCGGCCGCCCTCCTCGCCGTCGCTGCTGCTGGCGTCGTAGTCGAAGCAGCCTGGCGCCGCCGCCATCAGCAGCTGCGCCAAGTCATCGGGCGTCGCTGCGGTCGTTGTCGCGTGACCCGCATCCGCGTCCTGATCCGCCCACCCCCGTTCGTCTCCCCATCCCATTTCTTCCATCTCCGCCGCGGCCGCGGCTCGCGCTCCGCCTTGCCATGGCAGCGCAGCAGACGCCACCGAGGGCAAGGGCGGGGGCGCCGCGCTTGCCCCTGCTGCTGCTGGTATGTCTAGCAGCGGGCCCGCCACAGCCTTGACTGCTGATACCCTGGTCGCCAGGCCCGCGCCGGCGGCTGTGCCTGCCTCGACTGCCGCCGGCACGCCTGCGTCTCCTGACTTGCACTCCACTGGCGCCGGCATTCCAGCAGCCGCAATGCCGTTTCTGGCTACTGCTGCCGCTGCATATGCGCTGTGGGCGGCTGCCGCCGGGGCACCGGCCTGGCTGTTTGCGGCGACTGCTGCAGCCGCTAATACGTCATCACCGGCTGCTGCCGGCGCCTCGGCCGGGCTGTCAGCAGCCGGTGCCGCCGCCTCCTCCTCAGCTGTGATACAACCCGACGTCCAGCTCTCACCCTCAGCAAAATCCGCCGGCCCCGCCGCTGGCGCGTCCGCTGCGAGGGGCGCGGCCGCAGGCGACCCTGTCACCGCCGTGTACGTGGCGCCAGCTGCCCGCGGCGCTGCGCACGCCATCGCTGCAACAACAGACGGGCCCGCAGGTGGTGGCGCCTCAGCCGCCGCGGGCGCCACCGCCGGTGTCCACGTCAGCGCCCCAGGGGCCTCCTCAAATCTCAGAATCTCAGGCCCCCGCGCGACCGGCCCCTCCGCCGCGAGCGCCGCCGCCGCCAGCATCTGTAGCGCGTTCACCTGGGCGGCGGCCCACATCTGCTGCTGCTGCTGCTGCTGCTGCTGCTGCTGCTGCTGCTGCTGCTGCTGCTTCTGCTGCTGCTGCTGCTTCTGCTGCTGCTGCCGCTGCTGCTGCTGCCGCTGCTGCTGCTGCTGCTGCTGCTGCTGCTGACCCCACAACCATAGCTGCCACTGCTGCTGCTGCTGCTGTCCCTGCTGCCACTGCTGGAGGCTCTGCCACCCTGCGCAAGCTGTGCTGCCGGTATCAAAGGCAAGGCTGCCACCCCACCACGGCAGCGCTCCCGCCGGATATCCTTGCCAGGGCTGCCACGGGAGTAAAGTTGCTGTGCCACGATCAACAGCAAAGGAGCACGCAAAGCCGCCCGCGCCGCCACCGGATGCCTGCCGCAAGGGAGGAGCAGCAGCATTGGGTGGCGGCCCCGCCAGGTTTTCATACGGCAGTTTGACCGTGATCAAGAATGTGCGCGTCGCGCGACGGCTGTCGTCTGCAGCAGCGCGGGCCTCGCGCGCGCGCACGCATGGCATGAGCGCGCATGCGGGCTGCAATCCTGAACCCCGTGCTGCCTCCAAGGTCGCAACGAGCGGTCAGCGCGCCCCGCAACAGCAGTTGCACGATTCTGCAAACCCCCTCAGGCTGGGCGCACCCAAAAACCACCACGCCCCCAATTTCCATGCATCCTCAACCTCAGCCAAATTGCACGCCCCTACACCACCCCGTGTGTTGATCGCCACTCCACCTGGTGTGCAGCTGTGACGACCCTCGACGCCTGCTCGCCGCTCCCAGTCCCGCCTAGCTGCGCCGCGCAAGGCCAGGCGATAAGGGCGGGGCCGTGCGCCACCCCCTGCAGCTGCCACTCCAGCTGCTGCTGCGGCTGCGGCTGCGGCTGCTGCTGCTGCTTCTCCTTCTGCTCCTCCTGCTGCTGCTCCTGCTGCTCCTGCTGCTGCTGCTGCTGCTGCTGCCCCTGCTGCTGCCCCTGCTGCTGCCGGCTCTCGCACAAGGCCCACCAAACCACGTGCACCATGCCCTCCGGCCCCAGCTCAGCTCGGGCAAGCGTGCCGCGCATCCACTCCCACAAGTGGTGAGGCAGCGTCCCTGCGCCGGCCTCGGCATCCTGATACCGGCTGATGACGCGATCCCGCAGCTGGCAGCCCAGCTGCTCGCCGTGCTCCTGCATCCATTCGCTGCTGCCCTCGTCCAGCACCTGCTTCAGCCCCTGCCGCAGCGCCGCTGCGCTGCCGCGCAGCTTTCCTGCCTGCCGCAGCCACCTCCCCGCCGTGTAGGCCAGGGGCTGCGACGGCGCCCCGGCGGCCGTCGCGATGGCGACGCGCGGGTACTCGGCGACACACTCGCGGAGGAACGCTGCGGCGGAGCGGGTTGGTGGGTCGTGGGCGACGCGTTGAGGGCGTTGCGCGTGGTGCAGGGGTGCATAAATGGGGGGAATGTCCCGGGGCCTGCTGAATCTCATGCCTCGGAGCGCGGGCTGCGCACACGGGTGGCGCTGTTGGGAAGACTTCGTATTTCGCGGGTCAACTGCAGGGCCGCGACCCCGTGAGGCCCTCCCAAATGTATGGCGCTTGCGCCTACCAAGCAGCTCCTCGTCCTTGCAGGCAGGCGCGGCCGGCTGCTGTTGATCCAGCATTGGCCCGTTATAGTCCTGGCCTTGCCCCTGCCCCTGCTGCTGCTGCTGCTGCTGCTGCTGCTGCTGCTGCTGCTGCTGCTGCTGCTGCTGCTGCTGCTGCTGCTGCTGCTGCTGCTCATGACCAAACAATGCCATGTCGTCATCCTCGTCCTCCTCCGAAAACCGCTGCTGCTGCTGCTGCTGCTGCTGCTGCTGCTGCTGCTGCTGCTGAAGATGTTGCTGAAGCTGCCGGCCCCGCCCTTCCTCTGGCGCCAGCCCCGGCAGCCGCCGCTGCCACTGCGGCGCGGGACGCCGCGCCTCCTCCTCTTCCTCATGCCCCTGATGAGCGCAGCCCTCCCGTGCCGTCTGCCCCCCAGACCCACTCGGCCCAAGCAGCAGCGCCTCGCTCACTGCAGACCTGCTCATATCCATGAAGTCAGCAGCCGGCCCGCAAGCCTCGAAAGCTGCCGCCCCCGACGCCTCCGCGACGCCCGCCCCCGCCGCCCCGCCGGGCGCCACTAATGCCCACCCTGCGCCGTCCCACGCCGCCCCCGCGCGCTTGGGCGCGGGCGCGGGGGCGGTGTGCGTGCACATATCGCGGAAGTGTGCGGGGGGCTGCCGCAGCCGATTCTCCGGGGAT